CTAGAACGACAAGCAATAAAAAACGTTTTTTATAAAAAGAACAACGGCCTTAAGTCTGGCTATTTTACTACAAGAAAATGCAGGTACACAATTCCTATTCTACGAAAATCTAAACTGAAAACTTAAAAAAATAAAGATATTAAACTAAGTTTTGCCAAGGAATTGAACGATTGACAGGCTTGGATCATATTCTTTAAAGAAAATCCAGTTATTTCACGCATATTTCTCGCTATTTAACTCATTTTAAAAACCAGTAAAGAAAGTGTTAAAATTGGGCGGGCCGAATTTATGATACCCTACACCACTTTGCATATTTAGTAGAGCTTCACATAACAATTAAAAGCTTTTATTGGAGAATTACATCATACAAGCTATGATTATAATTATAATTTAAAGTTCAAAGGACAAAAAATGCCGAGGCATTTGTATCTTTTAAATTCCGGCTTGTTTTGTCCATTTCGTGCAAAATTAACTTGAAATCGGATAAAGATGTATATGGGAGCTATATCCAACCCATCTCGATAAAATTTGAAAAGATATTTCTGAGCTGTATTTGATATATTTCCCTGAATATCGCTGTTACGGAGTGCCTATTACGGCTGTGGGTAACAAATACAGCAAATCGGATGAACAATATATATGGGAGCTAGAGCTATATCTGAACAGATCTACCAAATTTGTCACAATAGCTTCTACACTCAATTCGGTAGTAAGTGCCATATTCCATCACATTTGGGTTAATATTACACGTTTAGAGCAAAATAAAAAGCAAATCGGACGAAGTTATGTATGGGAGCTATATTCAAATCTGACCCGATCCCGATAAAATTTAGCAAAGGTATTTCTGAGCTGTTATTGATATATTTCCCCAAATATTGTTGTTACAGAGTGCATAATATGGCTTCATAGGACATAAGTAACAAATCATATGAACAGTATATATGGGAGCTATAGTTATATCTGAACCGATATCTATCAAATTTCCCATACTTATTTTCAGGCCTACGTGCAAAATAATATTTAGGCTGATATTACACGTTTGGTGTACAATAAAAGGCAAATCGAACGAAAATATGTGTGGGAGCTGTATCTAAATTTTGACCGATTATCTCTAATTTCAATAGGGTTTGTTTTTGGATTTGTGCAAAATTTCATTAGGTTCCGGCAATAAATACGACCTGTACTTTGTTTACAAAAATACATGTACAGACGGACGGACGGACATTCATAAATCGACTCAGAACGTGATTCTATGCAGATCATCAAAATGAACTGTGGGTCTATCTCGTTTCCTTTTGTCTATTACAAACAAATGCACAAAGACATAATATCCTGACCACCTTGTGGTGTAGGGTATATTAAATGATATATCCAGGATCCCATATTACAGATCCATACTCTAAGATGCAGCGCACAAAATAAATGTAATGCTGTTTACAAACTAATGAATCAAAGAATTCTTTACTCCATCTATTTATAAAGCCCAAACTTGTAAATGCTTTATTATTAGTCAGAGAAAAATCCTCTCGGAAGTCAACTTCATGATCCAAAAGGATTCCAAGATCATTCATAGACGTTACAGAGTCGATTGAATAATTATTAAAGTAGTAACTCAATGCAAATTTCTTAACTCTAAACGATGGACATATGTTTGCAATTTTTAATGTTTAATTCCAAAAGGTTATCAATACACCATTGGTTATCAATTTTTGAGATCAGACTGTAATAACTGTTGATTCGATTCAGCATTAAATAGAAGAAATATTTTTACGTCATCCGCATAACGTATAACGTTAGGCAAGTCGTTTATAAATAACTAGCTGAACCCGGTGCGCTTCGCTACCCCTTTTGATTTTATATGCATTCAAAAAATTTTTACGAATATATGTTGGTTAAAAAAAAACAAATTTAAAAATTAAAAAAAAATATTGCACTACTTTAATGCGTAAGTAAACCAAACCATTAGAAAAGCAGTAACATACACGGATTTATTTCATAGCAAATACCAAGCGTGCAGGAAACTGCAATTTTTTAAAGTTGAGTGGCATTTCTATTGCTATTAGTGAATTCGAGATAGCAACATACTTCGCCGTAATAAGCGTTTTTCAAATTAATTGTTGTGTTGTTTTTTAGTGTTAGCCTAAGGCGTTGTGGGTCAATGGTTCTTATTAAAATCACATCCCAATCTGATCCGATTTAAATATAGTTAAAAAAAAATTACTTTTACACCAAATTCCGCCACACCTTTCATATTTCATTGAAATTGGTGCGTCTAATATGTGAAATCGGCCGAGAATATATATATGGGAGCTATATCCCAATTTTAACTAATTTCCAATTAATTTGTCACATTTATTATTGTAACCATATTCCGCCACACATTCTGAATTTCATTGGAATCGGTCATATATATCGTGTTTGGTGCATAACATGTATGAAATCGGCCGAAATATATATGTTAGCTATACCCAAACCTCAACTAATTTCAATATAATTTGGAATTTTTTTCTGGTGCCAGATTTCTCTCGCTTTGGGTGCATTAAAATATGTGAAATCGGCTGAGTATATAAATATGGGAGCTATAATCAAATTTGAATATAATTTGTCAAATTTATTTTTGTACCAAATTTAAGCACTCATGCCGAATTTCATTGGAATCGGAAATACGTATCGTGTTTTGTGCATCAAATATGTGAAATCGACGGAAAATATATATGGGAGCTATATCCAAATCTGAACCGATTTTAATATAATTTGACTAATTTATCTTCAAATCCAAATCCCGTTACATATTCCAAATTCCTTTGGAATTGAACATACATATCGTGTATGGTGCATAAAATACATGAATCGGTCGAAAATATATATGAGAGCTATATCCAAATCTGAACCGATTTTAATATAATTTCACAAATGTATATTTGTTTTAATTTCCGCTACACATTCCAAATTTCATTGAAATTAGAGATACATAGCGTGTTTGGTGCATCAAATACATGAAATCGGTCGAAAATATATATGGGAGCTATATCCAAATCTGAACCGATTTCAATTTAATTTGACAAATTCATTTTGGCTCCCAATTTCGTTACTTATTTTAAATTTCATTAAAATTGGAAATACATATCGTGTTTTGTCCACCAAATAAATGAAATCGGCCGAAAATGTATATGGGAGCTATATCCAAATCTGAACCGATTTCAATATAATTTGGGAAATCAATTTTTTATATAAAATCTATCACACGTTTCCAATTGCATTGAAATTGGGGATACATAGCGTGTTTGGTGCATCAAATGCTTTAATCGGCCGAAAATATATATGGGAGCTATATCCAAATCTGAACCGATTTCAATATAATTTGGGAAATCAATTTTTTAGATAAAATCTATCACACGTTTCAAATTTCATTGAAATTGGGGATACATAGCGTGTTTGGTGCATCAAATGCTTGAAATCGGCCGAAAATATATATGGTAGCTATATCCAAATCTGAACCGATTTCAATATAATTTGGCAAACTTATTTTTGTTCCAAATTCCGTTACGTATTCCAAATTTGGAGACTGTATCTTCAACCAATCAATAGATATGTGCATATAAAATCTAAATTTTTGGGAGGTACCTCCGGTTCTGATGCTATATCTCCAGTTCCAAGTGGAAATTCAAAAATGTATATAGCCTATGTTACTTTCAGGCGATGTTGCAATATATATGGAAATTTTTAGGAAAATCTATTTAGCGGTTTTCGAGTCCATAAATTACAAACAAACAAACAAACAAACAAACAAACATACAAACATTTTCCTCTTTTATAGATATAGAAGATGTAAAGAGATCAGGTCCAAGATGGCTTCATTGAGGTACACCAGAACTTACATGAATTTTGTTTGAAATTATGTTGCCGTATTTCACCTATTGTGAGCTGCCTGTCTTTATCAAATCTAATAATGAAGCACTAAAACCCATGCTATGCAACTTAAATAAAAATAACTTATGGTTTACTTTACTCAAGAGTTATTTTCCACTATTAGTCTAATAGAGTCTTTTTGGTCGTTTAAACCTGATTATACATGATTGTACAGTATTTCTTAACCCACTCAATAAAAGCTAATACCAATAGTAAACAAATCACTACAAATGTATCCTTGTGTCGTCATATCGGAAAGAAGAAATCGTTGATACTACATCCAATTCTTGTTTATTTGAAAGTTTTTTTATGGGTTTCTTCGCGAGTTAGTTTTTTTTCGGTAGATAAAGGTAATTTATCATTTCGAAGTTATTTTGTTGTTACCTCCAAAAAATATAAAAATACATATATTTTGACTATATACATACACAGTAAACACAAACATGTGTACTTTTATGTTTATGTAGATGAATGGATTTTCCAAGCATGTAGAGTGAGGGAGAAAGCTTATCATTGAGCCCGGTTGAACGGCAGACAGTGAATACGAAAATCATGCATGCCATCCGTACCATCGATAAAACAATATGAAAATTACTACAACAACAATAGCACGAATTTAGTGTTTTATTGTAATAACAAAATAACAACAAAAATTAAGAATAATTTTCCTTTGTAAACAATTCATAAACAACGACAACAACAAAAACTTTATCAGGCAATGTAATTCTTTTGGAGTAGAACTTTGCAAAAAAAATAGTGTTGAAGGCGAATGACAGCGAACTTTTTTCGCCTGAAACTCAATTGCAAAGGAAACGACAAACGAAACGCATCGCAGTAATTAAATCCTCCACGTAGTTTTCCGAATTATATTGTTAATTCAGAAAAATTACATAATTAGCGGAAAATAATAAATATTCGGAAAAAAGGAAAATAGCGTGCTACCGGGTCATCATGCAATTAATTATTACGGCTGATACGAATTTACTATTTGTAATACTTATATTTTATTGATTGATTGATTGATTTATGACTGAAATATTTATGACCAATTGATTTTATTTGTTATCACGTGTTTTTTTATTTTCATATAGGAACGCAACGGCCCCGGAACCCCCAGTTCCCCAGCCAAAACTCCAACTTCGGTAACATCCAAACCCGAGAAATCGGCAGCATCACGCCCACCCAGCACTACACCATCCAATAAATCATCCAAATCTCGCAGTACTTCACGAAATCGCATTGCATTGAAGACCCCAGAACCGGAACCAGTTAAAAAAGGTAAGACCTTGTCATAGATTTTAGAGGGTTTTAAGAAAAACAAAGTGGAGTGTGACAAGGATTTTGTTAGAAAACTTTGAAAAGAAAAATCTTATGAGAAATTCTTTAATTCATGGATTGTAGTATATAACACTCCAGCCAAATTTTCCGATCCCATTATATTGGTAGTTTATTTGCATTATATTTTAATGGAATACTTGGTTTATATGGCTCCGTAATTTATGCTGTGTTCTTGGAAATATGTACTAAAAAGTTCGAAAAGTTCTAAGTGGGAAGAGATAGAGCTAGAAATCTGAAATTTGTAATGAGGGTCTTTGATGTTGTGAAACATTGATGAACCAACGTTTTTATGGAAATTCAAAATATACTAAATGTACTAAAATGGACTAAATTTGGATAAAGGCAAGGTAAGAAATTTGTATGAAAGCCAAGTTTAAGAAGTAGGGTTAATATAAAGAGGTGGATTTGGAAATGTGTATTACGTGTTAGTAGAACTCTTAAATGGTACAAACGTTGATAAAATCCAAATTAGTTAATGGAAAAAGAAGAAATGCTAAAATTTTAGTATAGAAAGAGGTGCATCAAGTGTACGAAAAGTACCAAATAGTACTAAATTTAATAAACAGAGCAGGAAAAGAGCTAGAATTGTGCATTTCAGTATTAAGATCACTATGAAATATATTTATTTTTTTCAAAGGGATAAATATTAAAAGCTGCATATACTTATGCCCCTTCTTAAAAATTTATTTGGCAGTAAGATTTTGTTCGCCTATTTGAATTTATCATATGTATGGTAGCTATTTTCTATGTGTATTAAATTTAGTCGTTTAATTTATAACTTAAAACTAAAAATAATGGCCTTTTATAAAATGCAATCTATTTTGAGTAAAAAATCACTGATAAATTAACTTAATATAAATCCCTATTTTCGCATACGAAGTAGCGGACATTTGCTAGTCTTCTTCTAATTCTAGCCTAATTCTAATTTCTCTAAGAACCAAAACATCAAATCTACTCAGTTCCAATTTGGAAAATTCTCTTAAAACGCATGCCATATTTGACAAAAAGAAACATATAATGACGTTGAAATCTGCAATAAAGTCATATTTAAAATAAATTAAAATGTAGATCCAATGTTCCATTAAATTGCAATTATGAACAGAGAATCTAGGTATCCACAAAATCATAAATATCAAAAGACAAATTATTTTGCTCACCACAAACTGGAACAGTTTTGGACTCGATTTTTAACAAAATCGTCTTCCAAAGTCCTTGTTAGGGGATTTTTTTTTTTTAATTTGACAGCAGCAACATCATCCTGGATGTTAAAATTATTCACTAAAAATATTGAAAAACAAGATAGCCTCGATTCAACTTTTGGAAAATATTTAAAGGTTCAACAGTCAAATATAAAGTTAATTTTTTCACAATTTATAAGTCAACTAGCTGAACCCGGTGCGCTTCGCTACCCCTTTTGATTTTATATGCATTCAAAAAATTTTTACGAATATATGTTGGTTAAAAAAAAACAAATTTAAAAATTAAAAAAAAATATTGCACTACTTTAATGCGTAAGTAAACCAAACCATTAGAAAAGCAGTAACATACACGGATTTATTTCATAGCAAATACCAAGCGTGCAGGAAACTGCAATTTTTTAAAGTTGAGTGGCATTTCTATTGCTATTAGTGAATTCGAGATAGCAACATACTTCGCCGTAATAAGCGTTTTTCAAATTAATTGTTGTGTTGTTTTTTAGTGTTAGCCTAAGGCGTTGTGGGTCAATGGTTCTTATTAAAATCACATCCCAATCTGATCCGATTTAAATATAGTTAAAAAAAAATTACTTTTACACCAAATTCCGCCACACCTTTCATATTTCATTGAAATTGGTGCGTCTAATATGTGAAATCGGCCGAGAATATATATGGGAGCTATATCCCAATTTTAACTAATTTCCAATTAATTTGTCACATTTATTATTGTAACCATATTCCGCCACACATTCTGAATTTCATTGGAATCGGTCATATATATCGTGTTTGGTGCATAACATGTATGAAATCGGCCGAAATATATATGTTAGCTATACCCAAACCTCAACTAATTTCAATATAATTTGGAATTTTTTTCTGGTGCCAGATTTCTCTCGCTTTGGGTGCATTAAAATATGTGAAATCGGCTGAGTATATAAATATGGGAGCTATAATCAAATTTGAATATAATTTGTCAAATTTATTTTTGTACCAAATTTAAGCACTCATGCCGAATTTCATTGGAATCGGAAATACGTATCGTGTTTTGTGCATCAAATATGTGAAATCGACGGAAAATATATATGGGAGCTATATCCAAATCTGAACCGATTTTAATATAATTTGACTAATTTATCTTCAAATCCAAATCCCGTTACATATTCCAAATTCCTTTGGAATTGAACATACATATCGTGTATGGTGCATAAAATACATGAATCGGTCGAAAATATATATGAGAGCTATATCCAAATCTGAACCGATTTTAATATAATTTCACAAATGTATATTTGTTTTAATTTCCGCTACACATTCCAAATTTCATTGAAATTAGAGATACATAGCGTGTTTGGTGCATCAAATACATGAAATCGGTCGAAAATATATATGGGAGCTATATCCAAATCTGAACCGATTTCAATTTAATTTGACAAATTCATTTTGGCTCCCAATTTCGTTACTTATTTTAAATTTCATTAAAATTGGAAATACATATCGTGTTTTGTCCACCAAATAAATGAAATCGGCCGAAAATGTATATGGGAGCTATATCCAAATCTGAACCGATTTCAATATAATTTGGGAAATCAATTTTTTATATAAAATCTATCACACGTTTCCAATTGCATTGAAATTGGGGATACATAGCGTGTTTGGTGCATCAAATGCTTTAATCGGCCGAAAATATATATGGGAGCTATATCCAAATCTGAACCGATTTCAATATAATTTGGGAAATCAATTTTTTAGATAAAATCTATCACACGTTTCAAATTTCATTGAAATTGGGGATACATAGCGTGTTTGGTGCATCAAATGCTTGAAATCGGCCGAAAATATATATGGTAGCTATATCCAAATCTGAACCGATTTCAATATAATTTGGCAAACTTATTTTTGTTCCAAATTCCGTTACGTATTCCAAATTTGGAGACTGTATCTTCAACCAATCAATAGATATGTGCATATAAAATCTAAATTTTTGGGAGGTACCTCCGGTTCTGATGCTATATCTCCAGTTCCAAGTGGAAATTCAAAAATGTATATAGCCTATGTTACTTTCAGGCGATGTTGCAATATATATGGAAATTTTTAGGAAAATCTATTTAGCGGTTTTCGAGTCCATAAATTACAAACAAACAAACAAACAAACAAACAAACATACAAACATTTTCCTCTTTTATAGATATAGAGAAGAAGATATTTGTTTTTAAATTTTGACAATGTTTTCTCTATTCTATCAATTCTCTTCAAGGTACATTTATAAGGTACCGATCATGGTAGAAATACCAGGTAGCAACATAGGCGAAAATTACAACAAAGCAACTTTTTTAGAAACTTGATATGTCAAAGTTTTAACCAGGGCGAATTTATTTGAAGTATAAAATTTGGGGCAAATTGTTTTGCACCAATCAGAACTCTTCATTCTGAAACATTGAATAAGTTTGTTTTGGTTTATTCATATGTATATATTAGTTGAGATTAGTATATTTTTAACATATAAACTGAAAATACTACAATAACTGGAAGTGTATACGTATTATACCATCAGTCATATCGCTAGAGAAGGTCTGTATAATTTCATATGACCAAAATGTATCTGATCGAAATAACGCCTCTTTCGACGAAATCCGTTTCAGGACATTTGGAGGCGACCCGTCCGTCTGTCTTGCTGGTGCGTACGATAGCTGTAGAATGGATCATCACCCAAACATAGTGCATCGCAATATTATTAACAAAAATAATGCGGAGATGGGCAATGTCGTCCCACTCCTTCCGGTTCCTCCCTCACGACATCCAGAATCCAGTGCGAAAATACGAAATATATGTAATGTTATCACTTATTTTGTATTCTCTTAATAAAATAAATAATTCTCCTTGTAGCATTAGATATAGGTTTTTAAGAAATGTGTAAAGATTCCAAGTTATCCTTTTGTATTAGAATTAGGGTTGATGCTTTGCCATTAAAAGTGAGTAAATAATAAATGTACATATATGCGTGGAACTTGTGAATTTAAACCTGTGTGTAACTACGGTGGATCTATCGGAATTGTGTACAATATAAAGGTCCCCACTGTATTTTAATGATCTTAGTCACATTTACCCACGGAATTGTTTCAAATTTGGTATTTAAAACTTACAGTAGATAGAAATCCACTTAGTATAAATATGTCTATATAGGTTCATGTTTTGGTATGACTCCAATGTAACGGTTCCACACACTTTATTGGTATTTGAAATCTTTAACTGCATTCTCCTACCGATCTCAGTCGTATTTGTAGTTTAAAGTGGAACATGTTTGAATCCAGATACTTTTGTATAAAAATGTTTTCTTAGGTAATGGTGGAGGGTATTCAAAGCTCGGCCCGGCCGAACTTAATGTTTTTATACCCTCAGCCATATGGCTAAAGAGGGTATATATCATTTGATACGGTCAAAACGTGCCTAGTCGAAATAACGGTTTTAGACCCTAAGTCTCTTTGAACCAAATTCGTTTCAGGACATTTGGAGTCGATCTAGCGATGTCCGTCCGTCCGTCCGTCTGTCTGGCTGGCTGGTGCGCACGATAACTCTCGAAGGGAGTATCCGATTCGGTCCTAACTTGGTACATCTTCTCTTCCTTGGGTACATTGAAAAATGTTGCTTGTCGTTCACTATTCTTTCTTTTGCAAACAGCACAGCACCTCATATTCTGTTTTTTTTTATTTGAATTATATCACAAAATTTGATTTTTATATTTTTGTGTTTATTTTTCCTCTATGATGTTTGAATTTCTGTTATGTATTTCTACGGCGAATTCGAATTACAACAACTTGTTTGACATATCAGGTTGACTACAGCTGGCCTGAAAGGGTTACCTTGTAATTCTACCATGGTACCGATTAATGTATATATTTCAAAATTACAGCAATTCGTTAAAAAATCATTTTTTTTTTTTCATAAAATTGGCTAAGGAAACTGATTCCATGCCATAATTACAGAAAGCTACCCCTAAATACAATTTTTATACCCTCCACCATAGTATGGAGGGTATATTAAGTTTGTCATTTCGTTTGTAACTCCTCGAAATATACATTTTAGACCCCACAAAGTATATAAATTCTTGATCAGCATAAAATTCTATGTTGATTTACCGATGTCCGTCTAGATGAGAGAAAAGTGTCTATGCATGTCCAGGGCCTCAATTCTTGTTCTATGAAAATGTGAAATGAAAACTTTTATAGAGGAAAGAAATGTCAAATGAAAAATATTATCAAGGAAATATATTTTTCATTTCATATATTCATAGAACAAGAATCCAGCCCCAGGTCTTCGTATATTCCCCATATATCAGTACCTCCATATATTCGGTATTTTGATGATTTTAAATACAATATTCACCGAAATTGTTTGGAATTTGATATTTGAAGTTCCTAATAGGTTCAACAGAAAATTGTCTATGTAGGTCCAGGTCTTCGTATAGCCCCGATACAACGGTACCTCTCTATATTCGGCATTTTGATGATTTTAGCTACATAATTCACGGGATTTTTTGTTCATTTTTCGTATTTCAATATTGTAATGGCTTATGACAAAAGTTGCCTATGCAGGTCCACGTATTCGTATAGACCCCAATATAACGGCTATATTCGGTATTTTTCAGATTTTAACATAATTTTTAACGGATTTTATTTTTGTGAAAATTTTAAAATTCGTTCCGACCTTACTGCCTTTTTACTTGTTTTTTTTTTTTTTTTTTTTTTTTTAATTTTCAATACCAAACATCTTTGGAGTATCACAAATATAAATTTATCTTTATTATTGTGACTCCTATCTTCATTTAATTTCATCATAAAATCTACTAAGAATTTTATGCTCTTCATCAAATATTTCGAGCTGGTGAAAACGAAATGGCAAAGTAAAAACTATCCATCATACGTTGCATACGTTCGGGCTCGCCTAATAACATAACCAACCTTTAAGTTCGCCCTTGGCGAACTTTTTATGCCTTCCATCTTGTGAAATCTTATATTAACAATTTAAAACTGTCAATAAGGAAGAGGTGTTCTAATTCGAATTGTATTGAAAGACTATTGAAATTATTTTTTTTAAATACCTAAACCTTAACAAATAGGGAAACTAACATTGTTTTATTTTACTATTTTTTTATTGTTTTATATCGTTCTATTAATTCCCAATATAATTTTCTTACAGTTCCAATGAATAAAATTCAAGTTGGACACGCTCCTTCACCTAATTTGAAGGCCGTACGCTCCAAAATTGGATCTCTTGACAATGCCAGCTACAAGCCAGGTGGCGGCAATGTTAAAATCGAAACGAAGAAAATTGAAATTAAGGCAGCACCCAAAATTGAAGCTAAGAATGATAAATACACACCAAGGGGTGGAGAAAAGAAGGTAATTAATTTTATTTCCATTATAAAATTTATTCTTCATAACATTTTCAAATACGCTTTCAAATGTGGAGAAACGAAATTTGATTTGTTATCTACGAGGTTAGGAAAACCAATGTCATAAATGCCGAAAACCATTCAAGATAACAATCAAAAGTTTGTATTCCCCCAAACCGTAATTGGAAGCCTATAATGATAATGACGATCAAAGAAAATTTATAAAGTATAAAAAAGAGGAAAAACAAAAGGTTTTGTAGCCTCACAACGTGTAGTACATTGTTGCAATATTTGAGCTTTTACTGACCCTGTATTTTGTAATTTGTGTACAGCGCGAAGATAGCACCGCCTTTTTTCTGTTGAAAGTAACTGCAAAGAAATATTGATGTCGAATTTGTGATTTTTTATGATTTTCAATTTCACGGTTGATTAGAATTTGAGACAATAAATTTTGTAGTTTCCCCTACTTTTGTATTATTGGCTATGTCACAAAGTCTTGTTAATGAAAAAAAAAAAAAAAACTATACTCTCTTTTAACAGTATTCTTATTATTAGGGAGTGACTGATCATATGGATAGTGACATACAATTAATTGTTTAAAAAAAAATTAAAAATAATTGATTTAAAATTGTATTGTCAAGAAAAGTAAAAGGAGTTATCTAAAAAAAACAGAAATTGAGAATTTATTGAGTATTTATTGAGGCACTGATTGCCACGAATATTTGCAACATTATTTTATTCAGCCTAAACTTCCATAGATTAAAGACATTTGACAGTCTTATATAAAGGATAATAACCAAAGGTCTCTTGGAATACAAAAGGGCTATCTATAGAAAAATCATTCAAAACTTAAACAGAAACTTTTTATTAAATTGCTATATTTAAGACCTACATGTTATCCTTCTCTTCAATTAATTTATCCTTTTACCAGTAAAACATTAATAACATTTGTAAAAAATTATTTTAATAAACTAAGAATTATTATTTCTGTTTAATTTTGTAACTATTTTTATAATATTTTGTATTAATATCGACACATCGACAAATCTACACACCCCTCCGTACATAGATAATTTCGACAAAATTACAATGGAACGCAAAATCGAAAATTGGTTCCCTAGAAAATGCCCACCACAAGCCGGGCGGTGGTGATAAGAAAATCGAAACAATTAAACCTGATTTCAAGGACAAGGCCAAACCCAAAGTTGGTTCCAAGGATAATGTGAAGCATGTTGCCGGTGGTGGTGACATTAAGGTGAGTCCTGGCGTTACAAGCTACATGTTTAGAAATTAAAGCCTCAGAAAACTATAATGAGCATTTAAGTTAAAATTAGTAAATACAATTAAAAATATTAAAATTAATATTTGTTATTAAGCATGTTTTAAAAAAATCATCAGCATCTTAAACAAAATTAAATGAAATGAAAAATAAAAAAAAAATATTTTGAATATTATACACGCATGTGTCATGAGCATGTTGTTAGAAAGAATGCATGTTATTTAAGTTTATGACTTTTAAACAAAATATTTATTATTTTAGATATTATATTTCAAACTAATTATGTGCATCATATCAATCATAAAACAAATCATTAAAATCATATATCCATGCATAAACTAAAAATCTAATAATATAAAAATTATTATTATAAGCCCAATTCAAAATAGGGAGAATATTAAAATGTATAAATTATTCCAATGCCATTTTCTGTAGTAAATTACTGAATTTACTTTTAATTAGATTGTAGTTCGGTGTTTTTCACTTCTTCTGGCACCAAACTATTTTGTGTGAATCGTTTTTCAAATGTTCAAGATTAATATTTACTTAGACCTTAATCTGCTTGATTGATCTCAATGGGACAGGATGATTGGGCCATGAACGACGAGTCAACATTTCTTTACTGTCAAGGTGCGGTAGGCTAAAGATCTAAAAATGTTCGAAAAAAGTGATTCAATAGTTGTCGTTCATGCTGTGAGAGAGCTTAAGTCTATTCACACTAAATTCTCTCAAAACACAAAACATCAAATATTTTACAATTTACATTATCCAAATATGTCATGAAATATAAAAATATACAACTTAAAGAGAAGAAAAATAATAAATATAATAAATTGTTTTCGAAGTCGATTGACTTTACTAGCCCTGAGTGACTTTATTGTCCCAATGATCAACCATGGTGGCCTCTGGCGGGTGTCTATTCTTTTGGTACCTTAGATATAGCTCCCATATATATCTGCGTCCGATTTCAATTTTATTTTGGCCCATATGTTGTCCTAATAGGATGTATTTAGGCACATCTGACCGAATTCAGCATAGCAGCAAGTACTTAAAATTTGGAGAAAATCTAGTCAGATGAAAAAACTGCAACCAAATTCAGACTGCTGTCATTTCTTGTTACTCATCCGACAGCTGTTAAAATTATTCCAGTGACAGCTCATTATATTGTTCACAAGCGTACAAAAGCATTTTGGTGAGAATATTCCAGAAAAAAGTTAATCGTGATGGAATTCAAGCGTGATAGTGTGATTTCTTTATATTGGCTGGAGAACCGCAAGTGGCTATCGTTAGAGCACCCCAGCATTTAAATGGGAATACATCTTTGTGTCTCATACCATCGCTCGTTATCGCGATATTGGTAGCGTACATATCGCAATATTCTATTTGGCAAATATTGAAAAATGAGCCCAGGGTAAAGCTATTGAAATTCGAAAAAGTGCAAAAACTTACACCGCAACAGAAACAAAATAGAGCTAAAGAGTTGCTCTGCTTGGCCGAAAGTGGTGGACTTCCCGAATTTGGTTTTCTCCGATGAGAATACATTCGTTGTACAGCAGTTTGTAAACAAACAAAATTATCGTGTTTATTTGCCAAAGAGGTCAGCTGAAAATGTGCACCTTCGGTTGGCCACCAGAACTCAAGCGCCTGCCATGGTGATGGAGTGGGCCGCCATAACAACCGATGGTCGCTCTCCGCTCGTATTAATTGACCGTGGCATCAGAATAAATGCCGAATATTATCGCAAAAATATTCTAGATGGTGTATTAAAGCCGTAGACATGCAAACATTTTAGCCGCAGACCTTGGACATTCCAGCAGGACTCAGCACTATCGCACTCAGCTCGCCCACCCAAGAATGGTTACAGAATAAGGTTTCTCTCTTCCACCTCTTTCCGCCGCACAATGACCACCAAAATCTCCTGATACCAATTCGTTGGACTATTGTGTCTGGAGTATTTTGGAAAGCAAGGTTGGCACTAAAAAAACCAAAGTGTCGATCACCTCAAGCAAGCGCTTCGCCGGGAATGGGCCAAAATACCGCAGAGCAACATTTGGACAGCGTGTGACGGTTTCATTAACCGTTTGAAGGCCATAATTCGTGCCAAAGGTGACCAATTCGAACAGATCTAAACTTATTCTAAAATTTGATGCTATTTCCGACATATTTTGGTTTCATTCAGTAACATTTGAGAAAAAAAAATGTGAAAAATATGGCGTTTGACTTTGTTGCAGTTTTTTTTTTATTTCACCCTGTATAAGTTGCCTCTTATTATAACTACTCTAAAGCTATAATACTCATTCAAAAGAAGGTTTGTAATTGGTATAGTAGTGGTGTAGGGTATAATAAAGTCGGCCCCGCCCGATTTTCGCCCTTTCTTTCTTGATTTTTTTTATACAAAACAAGTTAATATTGGTCAGCTGATATATTTTACTGGACAAATTTCCCCAATACGAATTTGCAAACTCTCAGTAAAACAGACCCCAAAAATTGCTGGCGCTAGTAACAATTTGTGTAAATTGTATCAACATTTTTGGTAAACGGACGCATCTAATATTAAATGTATTAACTTTTCTCATTGTCTGCAGTGACATGTTAGAAAAAATTGCAACCAAATATTTACAACTGCATTGTATTTTTGAGAACAACTTGGTTCAACGAAAATTGTGTTTTCGGAAAAAGTGGTTATTTTGGCATCATAATTGTCACGTGGTCTCATCGAGATTTTTGGGAAGGTTCCTATTGCTATGATATCTTCCCAACAATCCCTGTACCATACTCTTCATTATCCACAAGGAATCAGAAGAATTCAATATGGGCTACAGACAAGATCTGTTTGATTGATTCCAATCCTAAGGATTAAAATGTATTTTGTGGTTATAATTATGGGTCTATGTGGTTATAAAATGTAGGTCTACTTCTTGGTGTAGTGCTCATATAAATGTTCCTTCTAATTTTAAAGGCTTTTTAATTGTTTCAGTTTATATTTCCTACTAAATGAATTTCTAACCAAATCAAATGCAACTTGACACTTTGTGTTCTTAGTAGCAGAGCCCATATTTGCTAATTCTCACTAGGGAGCGAAACATGCTCGCGAGCTGCATTGCTCGAAAAGTGGGAGTTTTCTACGGTGTCTACTCTTCACTAGTTTGTTTTATGTGGGAGTTACTCCTATTTGAAAAATTAGAGCGTAAGTAGAATAAGATTGAAAATGAGAGGAAAAAATTGTTTTCTGATTTTTGTGTGTGTATGTTTGTAATAGCAAACAGATTTTGATGTTGCAGAATACTGAACAAGAGGGGGAGAGGGGAAGAAAATACACATCCATAGACATACAACAACGGTATAACGAAAACTAAAAGAGTACAAAAACTCAAGAGTAGAATCTGCTCGATTTTGAACGAATTTTGCTGCCACTCAAAAACGAGGAAAATATGCTTGATTTTTTCTGCTTTCAAGAGCGCACTCGCTCGAATTCGAGTGGGTTTCACTTTTATACAAATTCGAGCGAGTTTTTAGGGAGGCCTGGTATTTTAAGCAAGTTATCACGCTCATGATATTATTTTTAGCAATCTAGACAAAGGTTTGCTAATCTTTTGGCCTGGCTAGTTGCAACAGCTTTGTTACGTTATGTTTGTCTTTAGAAATGGCATTCAAATAATGAATTATTATAAAATAAGTTAAACTATTAATCATAAGCCTACATACATACATATGTAATCATTTAATATCATTTATCCATACATTATTCTTCAAAAAAATATTTAAAACAAGTTAAAAAGCAGTAAGTTCGGCCGGGCCGAACTTTTAATACCCTCCACCATTTACAACGAATTTGGAAATTTTCAAAAAATAAAATCCTTAAAAATTCTGTTAAAATTTTGAAAATACCGAATATAGCCGTTATGTTGGGGTCTATACGACGTGGACATACATATGCATTGTTTGTCATAAGCCATTACCATATTCAAATTCGAAACTGGACCCGCACCGACAATTTTCTGTCACAGACTGTAGTTCCCACAACGAACTTCAAATATCAAATTTTAAACAATTCCGGTTAATAATGTCGCTAAAATCATCAAAATACCGAACATAGCGAGGTGCCGTTATATGGGGGCTATACGAAGACGTGGACCTGCACAGACAATTTTCAGTCTTAGGGTGTAGAATCCATTTGGAACTTAAAATACCAAATTTGAAACAATTCCAGTGAATAATGTCGCTAAAATCATCAAAATACCGAATATAGGGAGGTACTGTTATATTGGGGCTATACGAGGACGTGGACCTGCAAAGACAATTTTCTGTCTTAGGGTTTAGTATCCATTTGGAACTTCAAATACCAGATTTGAAACAATTCCCGTGAATAATGTCGCTAAAATCATCGAAATACCGAATATCGGGAGGTACCGTTATATGGGGGCTATACGAAGACATAGACTTGCACAGACAATTTTCTATCTTAGGGTGTAGTATCCATTTGGAACTTCAAATACCAAATTTGAAACAATTCCGGTGAATAACGTCGCTAAAATCATCAAAATACCGAATATAGGGAGGTACCGTTATATTGGGGCTATACGAAGACGTGGACCTACAAAGACAATTTTCTGTCTTAGGGTGTAGTATCCATTTGGAACTTTAAATACCAAATTTGAATCAATTCCGGTGAATAACGTCGCTAAAATCAACAAAATACCGAAAATCCGGAGGTACCGTTATATGGGAGCTATATGAAAACGTGAACCTACATGGCCCATTTACGAACTTAACCTGCCTACTGGAAAAATAAACATGTGTGCAAAATTTTAGCCATCTATCTCAATTTATTCGAAAGATAGCGTGATTACAACAGACAGACGGACAGACAGACAGACAGACAGACAGACAGACAGACAGACGGACAGACAGACAGACAGACGGACATCGCTAAATCGACTTAGAATTTTACGCTGATCAAGAATATATATACTTTGTTGGGTCTGACATGAGTATTTCGAGGAGTTACAAACGGAATGACAAAGTTAATATACCCTCCATAATATGGTGGAGGGTATAAAAATATATAAAATTATATCGATGTACTTTATAAACTGTGTATTTTAGTTGAAACTTTTCTTTGCCTCTGAATGATTTTTATGTTTAATTTACTCTTCTCGTTTCTTTCTAACCTAACCAAAACAAAAACCAACAACAACCACAATAAATGTTAAACAATTACTATTTTGATGATTGTTTTTAACAAATAAAAACATTACTCACACTACCATTAAAAATAAAAAACAAAATAACAAATTCAGGAATCCAATGATCAACCTAAGGATGTAAGTAGTTTAGTAAACACTCACACATTAACACATTTTTTTGGAACTCAAAATTGCGAAATATTTTGATTTTTTATTAGAGAATTTTTTAGAAGTCATTATTTTTATTATTTTTCTAAAAAAAAAAACAAATTGCAACTTTTGTACTTGAATCAAGTCCACATAAACATCAAAAAACCCTGAGTTGCTTCCCCCCCCGAATAAATTTCAGAAAAAATACTCATTTAACACCTAAGGCACAAAAGCTGTAAATCTTGTTGAAAAGCGTTTTTTATAGATTTTTTTATATTTAACACTAAATTTCAAATTAAGTTTTTATTTAATATCGTTTTTTATCTTTCTTACTTGTATATATTTAGTCAACTATACAAAAAGCAAAATTGGTTTCATAAAATAAAAACTCTTAATGACTTTTTGATTTGAACAAAAAATATGAAAAAATTAATTGCCACCTAAAAAATAATTTGTAATATTTTCTCTAAATATTTTCTTCTTCCTCCCCGTCGCCCCCATTCTCTGCCATGGAAATACTTTCAAACCCTATTGTCCCGTTTAGATACAAACACAAAAAATCGAAATAAAGGCACAAAGCAAAATCGGTTCTTTGGACAATGTCAAGCACAAGCCAGGTGGTGGCGATAAGAAAATTTTCGATGACAAGGATTATTTGAAAAATATTGAACACGGCGTACCCTTGACCACACCACCGTCTCAGGTAACATAAATGTTGAAATGCTTAAAGCTTCTGTGACCATTTCGCCCTTGTCCATACTGTAATTTCAAGCTTTTTTTGGTTTGTTTTCACCCCCTAATGCATTTTTCAAACGCCGCCGTAATTTATTTTCTTGGTTTCGTTTTTGTTTCCATCAATCCAATCCCATTTTGGAGTTTCGTTTTTTATTTCAATTTATTTTGTTGAATTTTTCTCAGTTTGTTTCAGTTTTTCATGTATGAACTTGTTTTTAATTTTTTCCGCAGTTTTGATTTGTTTACATTTTCCTCCTTCTCCTCCTGTATTGCCATTGTTATCCTTTCCTAAAATAAATTAAGTTAGAAATTCATTTCAATAAGAAATATTTAATATTGTAACTCAGCAAATTTATATTCAAATATTCTGAATTTTTACTAGCGTCGGACGATTGTTTCTGCTTAAATCAGGTTAACAAAATGATCACAATATTTGTTTTTTATTGTGTAACCCCATAAAATAGGCGTGTACCATAGTTTTCCCGATAGAAAATACTCAGTAATTGTGTCGAGAAAAATGTCTCTCTCACGTACAAATGATAGAATCTGAAAGTTAATCTAGTTCGAATATTTAATTATGTTATTTTTATTTGTTAAGGATTTATCTACCTGATGGTAGAGGGTACATAAGGTACAGCCAGGTCGAACCTTTACTTTTTTATTTCAAACCTATGGCTACATCGTTTATTGATACAGCCAAAAGGTGCATCTTCGAAATAGAAACTAGGTCTCTTTGGACCAAATCCGTTTAAGGACATTTGGAGTCGATCTAAGTTGTCCTTATTGAAGGCAATACCCAATTTGGTCCAAACTTAGTACATCGTAATATTATTGTCAAACTTAGATCGAGTTCGGAGATGGGCAACATCGATCCACTTTTTCTGGGACCGCCACAAAAGAAGCTCGTAATGTTCAAAGAAAATAATTTAACTTTTAGAAAGGATCATTCGGTTTTGTGCAAACTTTGGAAATCCTAGAGCAAGGACAGGTGTAAAAATGGACAATATCGACCGACTCCATCAAGTATATTAAATCGTATAAAGTTTGTTAAGATCGGCCCACTACTTCTCGTGCTACTCTCACAACGGGTCAAAGTTTTGAATAGCTACGAAGCTCGTAAAACGCGAAACCGATTTCATTCAAACTATGCGCATCTCAAAATATATAGCAACTCAAGATCTGTTGCGAAGAGGGTAGATGTCGGTCTCCTCCTTCTGGTACCTTCTTTACAAAGGGTCACATTTTTGGATAATCAAAGTGATCATAAAAAGTGAATTGAGAATCCTATTCTCTTAAAATTGCATGCATCCCTATATTTTATTAACACAAGATCTGGAGTGGGGATGGGATATATCGCTCCACTCCTTCTGGTACCTCCAACACGACTGGATAACATTTTGAATAGCCTTGAAGCTCATAAAACGCAAAATGAGCATCCAATTCTTTTCGAACTCCTCTCACTTCAATTTCTCTATCAACACAAGATCTGTTGTGAAAATCGTAGATATCGGCCCATTCCTTCTGGGTCAAAATTTTAAAAACCAAAACGATCATAAAATGTGAATTGAGCATCCAATTCTCTTCGAATTTCACACATTTCAATATTTCTATTAAAACAATATCTGGTGTGGAGATGGAAATTTAGTACCTTTTAGTACTTTTCGCACAACTATAGGACGCATTTCCAAACCAATACTGAATCGCAAACACAGATACCATCACTAATCTAAATATCAGGAATTCAGAATGTTATCTCTGTCCCTTCACCCAATACAAAATGTAGTGGCATTTAGCACTTTTCGTCCAAATATGGGACGCATTTCCAAGCCACCACCAAGTCTCAAACACAGATACCATCAGTAATCTTTATATAAAAAATTCAGAATTTGACCTCTGTCCCTTCGCCCAATACCAAATAAAGTACCATTCAGTATTATTCGTACAATTATAGTACACAATTCCGAAATAACCTCCATATGACCAGGCTACACATGAAGGGTGATCCTAAAAACAAATTTCAGATTTTTAACACTATCTGTTCACCGAATACCAAATTGTACGAAATATAGTATTATTTAGTACTTTTCGTTCACTTGTAGTACACATTTCCAAAAACACCTCCATATAAAAACCTTGATTCCAAATTTCAAGTTTATTGCTTTATCCGCTGGCTTAATACCAAATGGTACCACTTTAAAAGTTTAGTACTATTTTAGGAATTTTCGTAACCTTAAAGTTCGAGTTTGATATATCTATCATGCAGAAAAATGTTCCATAATGATTTGCATCATGTAACGTTGTCGTATTTGTTGGACCAATATTGCCGATTTTGAAGCCTAAACTTATTGAATAGTTCCTACAAATTGAAAGAAATTTTTATATTTTTTATTTGGCCTTTTTATACCTTCAGCCATATGGTTAGAGAGGGTATATATCATCTGATACGGTCAAAATGTGCCTAGTCGAAATAACGGTTTTAGACCCTAGGTATCTTTGGACCAAATCCGTTTTAGGACATTTGGAGTCGATTTAGCGATGTCCGATTTGGCCCAACCTTCGTACATCATAATATTTTTGTCAAACTTAGATCGAGTTAGGAGATGGGCAATGTCGGTCTACATCTTCTGGTACCTCCCCCACAAAAAGTCGAAATTTTCAAAAAATATTTTTGCACAGAAAGAGAAACGATAATCCGATTTTGCTCCAACTTTGCAAATCCTAATACTTGCGCCAGTGCTAGGTCACGTAAGAAAATGGACAATATCGGTCCCCTCCATCAAGTACGTCCCCCACAAAATGTCAAAATTTTGAATAATTACAACTCACATAAAATGTGATTTAAGAGTCCTATTGTCTTAAAATTTCACACATCCCTATTATTTTATTAATCCAAGGTTTGGTGTTAAGATGGAATATATCGGTCAACTCCTTCTGGTTTCTCCCCCACAAAAGGTCGAAATTTTGAATATCCATTAAGCTCATAAAACGCGAAATTATCATCCGATTCCCTCTAGACTTTGCGCATCTGAATATTTCTATCATCACAGGGTCTCTTATAAAAACGGTAGAGATCGGACCATTCCTTCTGGTACCTTCCAAATAAGCATCAGGTTCTCTTTATATTTCACACATCTCATTATTTCCACTAACAAAAGATCTGTTGTGAAGATGGGATATATCGGTCCACTCCTTCTGGTCCTCCACCACAAAGGCTCAACAATTTTGAATATTCGATTCCATTCAAGACTTGGTTCATCTCAATATTTCCATCAACACAAGATCTGTTATACAGATGGTAGTATCGGACCATTTCTTTGGTTAGCTGCCCACATAGGGTTCAAGATTTTGAAAAGCAAAACGCTCAAAGAAAGCGAAATAAGCATTCAAATTTCAAATATACAAACATATTTTGCTAATACAAGATCTGTTGTGAAGATGGTAGCACTACCACAAAGGGTCACAATTTTCAATACTTTTATCTGTCATAACTTGCGAAACAAGTCAGCGAATCTTAACAACTTGCTATATCCAAATATATCTCTCTTTACCAGAAACTTGAGATGAATATGGAATTATGATTTTCCATAAATTTGATATAAATGTTCGATTTTCTTGTAGTATTGCCCATATTATTTATATGTATTAGATGAAGCATGAAAATGGAATACCGATTATATCTTGTACGTCACGCACATGTTAACATTTTCTAACAATTATCATATATGTCAAGGAAGGAAGTTACCAATATAGTCCAAACCTGACACGTTGCAATATTAATATATTTATTCAGGTCCGATACGAAATGGCCAACATTAGCCCTTCTCCATAAGGGTTTAAACATTTGAATAATCATAACAGAAGTCACAATATTTTTAAATAATCGTACATTGGCTGAGTACGGCAAAACCAACCGATACTTTTTAACTTGTTTCATGGTAAATTAGCAAAGTTGATCTGAGTTTAATAATAAACTAATAATAAACCTAATTGAATCGATTAATGATTTACCAGAATTCGTGGTTTAGGCTTTTCCTCCTAAGCAGAAACAAGAAAATCGAATGGCTCCTCACTTAAAAGCAACGCATGAAAATAATATTCAAATTAAAATTCAAAGTAAAAATGTTTCTAATTTTTTATATTAAACCTCATATACAATATTAAATATTTCTTATGTATTCGCATTTACCTTTGTGTTTGTCTATTTTATTTGATTTATTTTTATTGTAATTAAATTTTATTAATTCAAAATCAAAATTGTAATTGTGAAAAGCACTGCACTTAGAACATAAATGATATTAAATGTTCTGTGGCACCACAACCATTTAAATGTAAAACCTCAACCAAACAAAAAATAAAAACAAAAATCAACAACAACAAACAAACCAATAACAACAGTAAAATGCTTTGGTAGTCGTTGAAATTCAAACAAAAATTAAAATGTACAAATCACAAGCAAATAAATTGAATTGAACTCTATTTCATAGTTTTTGCATTTAATTTTAACCAATTTGGTTTAGATACTAACATTTTTTTAAATTTTTTTCATTTGAATAAATAAAATCACAAAAAAATCAATCATCTTCAAACACATTTTACACATGACACACATTCAACACCTTACTCATAAAACAAACAAAAATATGTGTTACTTAATTTTTTAGGAGATATATAATAAGATGATTTCGATATTGTTAACATAACAATTGTTATATTGGACTAGGCATAGATTAAAATTTTCAAACAAACAGCAGTTTAAACTAACATTAAAAAGAAACACTTGTTAAAAATAGAAAAGAAAGACAAATTTTGTTGTAAATCATATAACTAAATATATTATTGAGTTGGTAAAGTCCTAGCAGTCATGCATCGCAACAAACAAATAAATTAGCAAGTAACGGATCCAGTAAGTAATTTTTATTATAAGCAACTACTTAGGAACCTTTTTATACATTCCACCAAAATTGAAAAAAAATGCATTCCATCTGCCCGTCCTACTTTTTATACCCTCCACTATAGTATGGAGGGTATATTATTGTCATTCCGTTTTTAATACATCGAAATATACATTTTAGACCCCACACGGTATATATATATATATATATATATATATATATTCTTGATCATTAAAAAATTCTATATCGATTTAACGATGTCGGTCCGTCTGTCCATCCGTGGAAATCACTCTAGCTTGGTATTTGAAGTTCGAAAGGGATATAGCAGCCCAAGACAGAAAATTGTCTGTGCAGGTCCACGTCTTCGTATAGCCCCGATATTACGGTACCTCCCGATATTCGGCATTTTGATGATTTTAGCGACATTATTCACCGGAATTATTTCAAATTTATATCAAATTATATAATTCCGGTGAATAATGTCGCTAATGGTTCGTAATGGATACTGCAGCCTATGACAGGAGATTGTTTGTACTGGTCCACGTCTTCGTATAGCCCCACAAAATAGTACCTACCTATATTGATGATATTATATTGATGATATTATACATTATTCACCGATTTTTTCAAGTTTCGCATTTGAATATTGTAATTGCTTATGGCAAAAGTTGCCTATGCAGGTTCTCGAAGTCGTTTAGACCCTAATATGATGGATACATTTGATATTTTTAAGATTTTTTTTTTTGAAAATTTCTAAATTCGTTCCAAATGGTGGAGGGTATTCAAAATTCGTCCCGGTCTAACTTACAGCTTTTATACTTATTTGATATTGAAATGGAATACACCGGTTCACATCTAAGTATAGCCTCAAGCCTCCATGAGGATACCTCCGGACCCTTCTCCCTCTGACCCAATGGCATTTCGGAAACTCACTGGTAAAATTATTCAATGTAGTGAAGTTACCTCCTGTCTGAACTTGTATTGTGATAAGAATATTTGTATCTACTGGTTTGATATTATAAACTATATATGTTAATGCTTAAAAGGGTAAATGCTTAAAAGGTGAAACATTCACATATATCCACCGACGCCAGGTATATGTTTCGATTTCTTTGACTGGCGCCCAACGTTTGTTATCACCGTTCTATTTTGACCATTTTCACTTCCTCTCTTTTCAATTTCACTCTTTTTTTAACGGGAGTGGATAGTTAATCTCTTGTAAAACTAGTACGAGCACTCTCAATTGCATGTAAAATCAAGCAAATCGGAGCTCAATAATCCGATATGGGTTCAATGAACATGCAGTTGAAAATATCTCTAAGAAACAAAAAATATTCTAAATCGAGAGTACTCCTTTTATAAAGGATGTTCTGAAGAGTGAATTTATATTGACAACGTTCGACGATGATGAAGTTAATCGGACTCCAACCCGTGTATACAAATTACCCAATTGCTATTCGAAATACTAACAAAAATTATTTACTACTAACTAAAGTATATATTATATGATTTACAGCAAGATATATATTGAAATAATCTGAAATTGGCATATACTTACTTACCATTGTAAACAATTTATTTTGTCTGCGTTTTATGACTTTTATTTGTTTTTTTTTTATATTCTATTTTATTTTTTACTCCATATATTGTTTTAATTATGTTTCCTTTAGTTTTTCAAATCCCTTTTAAAAGAAAATCCAAAAAAAATGAATTTCTACTCCCACAATTCGAAGTAAATCAAAATTTCTCAAAATAATTCCAAATGGATTCTAATTCTAATATTATTGTCTCCTCTTTCTCTCTATCTCTATCTAAGAATAAATAATTAGATGTGAAAAAAAAAATAATCTAACTTTTACTGTGAAAACATACCAATGTTATTCTTAATTTTCTTTCTTTTTTCTTCCCATTCTTTTTTTTTCCAAAAAAACACACAAAAATGAACAAACAAAAACACATAACAATGAAATAGAGCTCACAAGGGCGCTTAATAGCGACAATACATCTTGAATTCGGTCTATGTACCAAAGATTGTGTGTGTACCGAAGTATTTCGTTCGCTTTTTAAATAGATGCCGTAGCAACTCCAAAAGAAATGAAATTCTAAAAATTCAAAACCAAAAAATATAAAGCTCAAAGCCACACCCACCCAATTAAACCTACTACTACACACAATACAAAGACACTTTTTTTTATAATTTTTATGTTATCAAATTAAAAAAAAACAAATACAACAAAATCCTGCTAGAACAAAGTGGCCAAATTTAAACCCCAATAAAATGAAGCCTAACACACTTTACAAAGCGTAACACCCCCCCTTAAACATTTCGAAAAGTACCTAGTTTTAAACTAAACGGATAATAACAAAATAACATTTACTTAATTAAAAACGAAACTAAATTATTATATTTATTATATCTAAATATCCTATTTACTGAAAAAAATATAAAAGCAAACCTCATAAATCGTATTCTTGTTTTAACAACAAAATAATTGTTATTCAATTTGTTGTACTATAAAACAAATGTCACAAGAAAGTATATATGAAAATAAAAAAAGGTTTTTATTATATAAATGCTAAAGCCAAATTTTAAAATCGAATTTTTATCTCTTATCTTATTTTATTTTATAATTAACACAAAAAGCTTTAATATTTGCTCAACTTGAATAGTTTTAACCTAATTTTCCTTTGTCTATCGTTTACTTTTTACCTTCTCAATGTTTTGTTTTTTGTTGTAAATACACTTCATTATAATTTTAGTAAAAAGAAATAGTAAATGAAAGATTTTGATGGAAAGTAACTAAAAAAGAAAAAAAATGGATTTTTTTTTAGAATATTTAAATGTTAAATTAAAGGAAACATTACCACAACATTAGAAATATTGAAATTCAAATCCAAATATCACTACATTTAGGCAGATTTTTTTAGAAAAGTTTTATATGTATAATAGACAAAAAGTATGCAACCATTACTGTCTTGAAGTTTTTACCTTCTACTATTTTAAAAATATATAAAAAATTTCGAAAAATGTATTCCATTATTTGTTTTTTTTTTTTTTTTAAAGAATGTTAAGAAGTATAATGCAACAAAAAAATGCAACAAAATGCTTGCTTGAGCTGATTGTAACTTTGGTATTTTTTAGTACCAACCTTGCTTTCCAAAATACTCCAGACACAATAGTCCAACGGATTGGTATTCGGAGATTTTGGTGGCCATTGTGCGCTGGAAATGAAGCGAGGAACCTGATTTTGTAACCATTCTAGATGCCACGGTCCATTATAACGGCTGTTATGGCGGCTCAGCTCACGAGCCATATTTCGGCCACTGCGACGCGGGTTTCGATCAAGTCGCTTCTTTACTTTACCGCCCACTTCCTTGACGTCGGGCACGCTTCCAGTATCACGGTAACGAGCGATGGTACGAGACACAAAAGATTTATTCACATTTGTGCTCTAACGATAGCCACTTGTGGTTTCCAGCCAAATATAAAGAAATCACACTATCACGCTTGAATTTCATCACGAATAACTTTATTTCTAGAAAATTCTCACCAAAATGTTTTTGCACGCTTGTAAACAATACTGGAATAATTTTAACAGAAATGACAGCAGTCTGAAGTTGGTTGCATTTTTTTTTTCATCTCTACTATATGTCGCCAAAGAAAAGAAATCTCCATTTTCATTAAGAGCCCTATACTAAATCTTTTGAAATTTATTTCGGATGCCTTTGTGAGCTTTTATTGTACAGGTACATAGAAGGCTTTTTCTTTTGGCTTAAGTCATAGATGGGCCTCTTCGTAAAAAAAGAATCAATTTAGAATCAATTTCGACTCATAATTTATACTTGTTCACCCGACGCTTCATTGTTCTTTTACGAAGAACCCAACGATGACTTAAGCCATTCAAAACATGTTCTTATGTCCTCTAAGACTATGAAAAAGGCGCTATTTTTGGCAGCGGTATTTTGATGACTTTAGCGACATTATTCACCGGAATTGTTTCAAATTTTGCATTGAAGTCCATAATAGGGTACTACAGTATATGATAATGGTCCCCATATAACGAAACTTCCCGATATTCGGTATTTTGATGATTTTAGCGACATTATTCACCGGAATTGTTCGTTCACATTCGTGTTTGAAGTTCGGAATCCTTACTACAACGTCTTGTGTAGCTCCCGCATAAGGATTTTCATATAAGACGAATTTTTCGTCATTTCTTTTTACATTTTTCAAGTTATTTCCAAATAGTGGAAGATGTTAAAAGTTCGGCGCGGTCAAATTTTGCTGATTTTTTTACTTGTTTATAACTTCAGCCATATGGTTATATATCATTTGATACTACCAAAACGTGCCTCATCCAAAAAACCGTTCTCTTTGGACCAAATACGCTTCAGGCCTTTTGGTTCGGCCTAGGGTGTCCGTCCATCTGTCTGTCCGACGCACTCTCAAATGGAGTATTCGATTTGGACCAAACTTGGTACATCGTAATATTATTATCAAACTATGGTCGAGTTCGGAGTTGGGCAGTAACGTTCTACTCCTTCTGCTACCTCCCCCATATCATTTATTCGCATAAAATAGGTTTCATATTTCAAGAGTTTACAAAAATTACTACATATCTCGTAAAATGCTCGCACTTAAACTATTTATATCAGACCTAATGTATAATATTGGCCACTCCTTCGGAGCATCCCCCATTTGAGCATCACGGCTTGAATAATCATAACGCAAAACTTAGGGTGTACATATGTCAGAAAACCGACTGATGATGGTACAAATTAAGTAAAAGGCTTCTTTGGTGACTCGATTGAGGTTAAATTTTTCTTCAAAAATAATACTTGTACTGTTATTGACAGTATTGCCGAAGTCACTATGTACCTAAAATATTAGGATTGCATAAAAACTTTAATCGAACATTTCCATAAGTGTTGAACATTGAATAACTTGTCCCCTTTATTTCGGTAACTTTGCAAAGCAAAATTTAACTTTTAACTTTTATAATCTATTGGGAAAAAATTATTTTGACGTTCAGTGTTATATAAGCGGAACATATTTCATATGTCGTACTTATTTTTATTTATTTTATATTTTTTTTCTACTTTTTTTAATTCAAGCAAATCAAATATGAAAAATCGTAGATATTCATCAAAATCTTTCCACTAGAAGCACAAATGTTTTTGTCCCCAGCCTCCCAACTTGTTTTCTATGCATTTCTTTATATATTTATTTATATTTTTTTTTCGTTTTCCTTATAATACTTTTTATATGCATTTCTTTTTCTAGGAATATTTATATAAATTTTATTAGGATTTAAGAAAAAAAAAGAGAAAACTTTTAAGTGCATTATATGAACAAAAAAAAACTATTTATTGAAATATACGTCCTTAAGAGAGAAAACTATTTTCTTTTCTTGTAAAACAAAACCAAATTAAGAGAAACATACATAAAACGTTGTTAAATGTAAGTTATTGCTGCAAAGAGAAGAAAAAAACGTACTCGTACTCAGCTCATTTTATTTTCGTTTCTTTTTAATTTCAAGGCCAATTTCAAAAGGTCGAACGAGTAGAGTACCTTTGTTGCGTTCGACTTTTTGGTTTGGCCTAAGTTTAATTTATTTTTAAGACATTTCATTTCATTCTAACTTCATTCAACTAAATGTGCTGTGAAAATCAATTTTTACTAAAACCAACAACAACAAAATGATAACATCCTACGTTACGGATAATAATCATTATTATATGTTATTGCTAAAAATATATATCTATATATGTATATATGTGGAGAAAAACTTGTTAATTGTTGCTGCATTTTTTCTAACATGTGTCTGTGTGCTGTGCTAAAAAAAACTAAAAAAATAAAACGTCATTCATTCTCTTGTCCAAAGCTTGATTATGCCAGTGGTATTGTAAAAGACCCTGTTACCCCTCTCATTTTGGATCCCATATATTTTTCATTTCATATTATTATAATTTTGTATTAAATCAATTTTTTATTTATTTTATAAGTTGTGTATATATTTAATTTTTTTTTGTTGATTTTTAATTTATTCTAATTTTTATTTGTCCATTATTATTTTTTTGTAATAGAAAATGTTTCCTTTAATAGTCCTTGGTTTTAATAAAACAAAAAATATATTTTATTTTTTTTCAACACACAGAGTCCACTACCAGCATCCATGACGACCTCAACATCTGGTGCCGATGAAAATCTAAATCAGCAAAGTTAAATTATTTTACAGAAAATACAAAAGAATATAAAAATCGGAGCTAATGCATAACAAAACAATACATATTGATTAATTCAAAATACAAAATTTATTAACTATACAAAAAAAGAAAAAAAAAACAAAGATTTAAGAAATGAAAAAAGACCAAAAATCTAAATTTGAAACAAAAAACATAACATATTTCTAAAGCAAAAACAAGATAACAAAAACACAACTAAGCATATTTATCATCTTCATATTATATTACACCTCCCCACGAAAAAAAAAGGAAAATGTATGAGAGAAGACAAAACTAAATGTATTTATTCGACAGTTAAACCACAAAAAATAAAATAAATTAACAAAAATACAATACCAACAATCCTCCCACAAAGAAACAAAAAAAACAAGATTACATATATCTCATATAACAAAATCCATTACAACAATAAACAATTTATACACCACAATAAACACTTTTAAACATTTATTTTTTAAAAAATAAAAATAATTTTTATTGAAATTAGAAACAAGACATATTTTGCAAAATTTAATAGTGTTGGCTCAAAGGCTCAGTAAAGAATTTATAATTGACTAGCTGAACCCGGTGCGCTTCGCTACCCCTTTTGATTTTATATGCATTCAAAATTTTATTTACCAATATATGTTGGATAAAGAAAAAACAAATTTAAAAATTAAAAAAAAATATTGCACTAATTTAATGCGTTAATAAACAAAATCATTACAAAAGCAGTAACATGACATGCATACACGAAGGGTTTGTCCTTTGGATTTATTTATTTCATAGCAAATACCAAGCCTGCAGGAA